CGATGGCCACACTGCAACCCCTTCTCCTCCATTCTCCTCTCGGGATCTTGGGCACGTACGCACACGCGCCCGGCGTGAGTTTAAGCCACCAGGTCCGGGACTCGAACTGCAGTCGACTACATGGGAGTCCAGCGACATAGCCATTATGCTAACTGCTGGTCCCAACTACATACATCTTTAATGCACAAAGATTTTGGGGAAATATGCATATTTTGCATGGACGACATGGAGATCCCAGACAAACTCCGATTTTATGATGTGTGATTCACCTGATTATTAGAAATAAAATTCTAACAAAAGAAAAATGTTTTCTTCTTTTTTGGAGATGCTCTACAATTGACAGTCTGGCTTTACTAGAGAAAAGGGGAAAACGTTTATAGAAATTATATGGGTATTTAGAGCTATAAAGACCCTTTATTGAAATAACTAAAACCAGAAAACTGATTTGGGAGGGTAATTACGAAACTGTCTCTGAGGATTAACTGGTAAGTAGGAACGTGGAAGTGCTTTTGCAAAGCCCTTTACAAAAAATGTAATCTTGCACATTTTTACATTTTTGTACCTAATGTGAGCAACCAATTGTTCTTTTATGTACACAACCTGATAACTAGAACATACTTAAGTTCTTTTCAAAATCAACAAATGGGGACCAGCAGATTGCATAATGGTTACATCACTGGATTCCCACATAGTAGATTGCAGTATGAATCCCGGATCTGGCATTTTAAAACTCACGCTGGGCACAAATTCCCAAGAAGACAATGGAGGAGAAGGGATTGCGCCATGGCCAGCCCCCTGGGGGGTGACTTCTTGCTTTCTGTCTGTCTTTCCAGTGAGCACACATGCCCTATAGCAAAAATCTGTCTAAATAAACAAACAAAACCACACACACACAAAAAAAAAACAACTCAAATTCAACAAATGACCAAAATTAATCATCTCATTTAGATATTATTAAATTATAATTTCCAGAAAGACAAACCTACATTATGTACAAGAAATCTGATCATGATGCATGTGGTAATAATATTCACACTCTTTAGATATTCGTTTTCCTAAAAGACCTTCTGCATTTTTTATATTTTCAAACCAACAGCAATAATCAACACCGATAATACTTGAGAAAAAATTGTTCTACAAGTGAATAAATTAGACTAAGCTACATTTCATTATCATTAATAATAACAATAAACACTACCTCTGATGTAAACGTTCTCACCCCAAAATAAGGCATTTTACATTTGATCTATTCTGTTTTTAAACTTAGGTTACAATTGTCATTCATACATAGAATTGTCAGAAGCTATGTATTACCCTCCTTCACCAAAGAGCACCTCTCTACGACAGCTTTCTTATTTTAAAATACTGCTCTTTCATTATTTTACAGTCTATACTTATTTATAGTCTCCATAATTGTAATAATGCCTTGCTAGAACTAAGCAAAAATTATAGTATTCCGAATAACAAGTGAGAAAAACACATCCTGCATTAGCTAAGGCATCTTCGTCCTGGGAGAAATAATCAACCAGAAAACAAGACATTATTTTATATAAAGAAATACGACAACACCTTCTTAAAATGAATACCTGAGATTAACAATTCCATTTCAGAACTACAACCAATGCTCATTCATGACAAGAACTAGTCACGTAAGATTATGATTTTGTTACTTGTTCTAGTCATAAAATTAGTAGTGATAGAATATTTTTTAAAAATCACCTCATCATCGTAGTCAGTGAAACCTTGGGCTTTAGCTGAGGAAACACACAGTAGTAGCAATAATAGATGTTTCATGGTCTTCAATTTGGGGAAATCCCAGGAGACCATCCTCTGCCTGTAGAGTTAAGGGAGCAACTTCAATCCCATTTATACCCACGTCCTCTGCTGGGCGACGTTGGGAATGGCTACCTCCCCTGAGTTAATATTCAACCTTCGGCTTCACTTGTTGGCTGAACCACTTTATCGCTTGAGCAACATCTTCCCAGCAAGACTTATTTACTTGTCAGACAACTCTTCTTCTCTGCTGGCCTAATTTAGAAACACCGAAGTCCTTCGGTTCATTCAGTTGACCGACATGACGGGAAGTTAGGTCACCCCTCCAGGAGATGCTCCCCCAGTTCCTCATAAACTATGTGGATGCTGTTCAGGGTCACGAAGGCTGTGAAGAAAAGTATTTTCAATCCAAGCACCAGAGTCTGGCCTCCTCACGAGGCATTCACTGACATTGTGAACTGAGTAAAGACACAGTTTATGTTTTGAGTTAACCATGTTATTCAGTTTTTGTTTAAGGCAGAGAGAGACAGACATATAGAAAGCGAGAAATCATCCCCCATAGGGGATGGCCATGCTGCAATCCCTTCTCCTCCATTCTCCTCTCGGGATCTTGGGCCTGCATGTACACGAGCCCGGCGTGAATTTAAGCCACCGGGTCTGGGACTCGATCCACAGTCGACTACATGGGAGTCCAGTGACATAGCCATTGCACTAACTGCTGGTCCCAACCATGTTATTCAGTTTTGAAAGCAACCATGAAATCAAGACTAAAGCTTGATCATCAAGTCTAGCATGATTATCTTTTAGACATCAATCAGATAACGAAATAACAATTCGTGACTTATTCAGGGATAGCAAACCGAAGGAAGAAAACCTCCAGGTTCATATAGTTTGCTCTAACCAGCTTTCATACTTGTCCTTCATCAATGTAAGTCAAAATGCTCTAAAAATAGTAAACGTTACTAACGTGATCAGCAGATCCTAGCTTCTTCAATTAACATTATTATTGGGGTGATGGGATAGTTAACCTTCTAGTTCATTATTATAGGTTTTAGGCTATATGGTTTATTAAAAATGCTATTTTAACATAGATGAAGACTTCAGCCATCGCTTTTAATATTGTCATGGGCTACACGTGGCCCATGGCTGTTTACCATCGCCCATGTCTCACTATCGGGAGCATCGAAAGGAGAGCCAAAGTCAGCAACCCAAATCCCAACAAATGCTCACGGTGAAGCATCTTCTGGTTTTTGTATAGAAAGTGAAATAGTCTCATTAAAAGAAATGTTTGATTAGAAAGTTAGCAGGGTATCTGGGTTTGGCTGAGGGCAGTGTTTCAAGCAATGCCTTGAGGGCCCAGCAGGTCACATGGGGATTAAAGTGCTGGATCCCAGACGGTCCACTTCTCAGTTAGGGTTCCAGACCCACAGCTTGGGAACCATGGCAGGCACGTGGATGCATGCCAAAACCCTGAGAGGGGAGTGGAAGAGAAGGGACTGTGGTGTGGCCATCCCCTCTAGGGAGGTGTTTTCCATCTTTCTCTATCTCTCTCCTGTGTGTGCATTTGCCCTGTGGTAAAAATATAAAGAGAAAAAAAGCCTTGAAACAAAATCTTTTTTCTTTTCTTTTTTTTTTTTTTTTTAATTTGCTATAGACTTGTGTACTCACTGGAGAGAGATGGGGTCAGAGAAGGAGAAAATGAGAAATCCCCCCCAGGTGTGGGGGGGATGGCTTTGTTGCAATCCCTTCTCCTCCTTTTCCTCTCCAGATTTTGGGCACACACGTACACACGTCTGGTGTGTTTTTGAAGCCACCAGGGTTGGGACTCCAACCATGCAGTGAGGCACATGGGACCCAGCCACCTTAACCTCCAATGCCACCAGCTGGCCCTGACACGGATCTCGATGTTGTGACACTCACAAAATGTTTTTCTTCTCTTCGTAGTCTAAGTCGCACCCCCAAATTCTTTTAGTGCAGATTTATAAAGTATTGAGTTGAAAGAAAATAAATAAAAGTATCTGGTTACGTGTTCCCAAATTTGTGTCTCGTTTATTAGTACTGAGTAAATACTGAACTTGGAAATGACTTTCTTTTAATTTTTCTTACAAGCATACACAATCTGATAGAAAAAGCAAAGCTATATATATATATATTTTTTTTTTTTTGAGAGATTTTTGCTAGAGGGCGCATGCACTCGCCAGAAAGAGACAGAGAGTCAGAAAGACAGAAAGTGAGAAATCACCACTCGGGGGATGGCTATGCCACAATCCCTTCTCCCCCACTCTCCTCTCAGGATTTTGGGCATGCACGCACACATGCCTGGTGTGTCAAGCCTCTGGCTCCAGGATGCGAACTGCAGTCAGTCATGTGGAAGTCCAGTGACATAACCGCTACACCATCTGCTGTTCTCAAAAATGTATGCTTTAATATACATATTAACTATAATAATATGCAAAAATATTGTGTCTTCCAAGTCGCCAGGGCTAGGTTTCAAACCAGAGTTGGCAAAGGGCAGTGCCACAGGGCCAGCCTGGCCTTTTATTCTTCCAAAGTAACATATTATGACTGCATTTTCTTTTTTCTTTCTTTTTTTTAAGAGAGATTTTTGCTCTAGAGCACATGCATTCGCTGGAGAGACAGGAAGCAAGAATATTAATATTCACTGTGCACTCCGTAGTCTTGAGAGCCTCCTCAGTGACAATAGGTTTGGGGCTGGGAGTACATCGCTGAGCAGGGGAGGCACAGCAAGCCTTGAATAAATACCTTTCCAAGGAGCGAGGGAACTGGCCTTCATTCATACTGCCTCGGACGTCAGACTGATCACCATGTATCTTATTTCGGTCCCCAAACTACGGAGCTCCACAGCTGTGACACTGAGGCTTCGAGAGGGAGAGTAGGCCACCCGAGAGTGCAGGAGGTGAGCGTTGGTGCCAGGGCTGACGCGGCCGTCTGGCCCTGCAGGCCATGCTCTGCCCGTTCTACCCTACGACCCAACAGAAGATGACCGGCTTAAAATTTTTGCCTGGACCTCCCTTTTACTTGTTTTGTTTTATTTTTGTTGGTAAAGTTTATTTATTATCATGATAAAAGTGCTTATGCACGCACGAGAGAGAGACAGAGAGAAGCACACACAACAGGCCCTTGTCATGCCGCGAACCCCCTTTCTGTACTCTTGTGGCTCGTCAGGATTTGGGGCACACTCATACAGGCCCAGTGTGTTTTCGAGAGAAGCTGGGGGTCTGGACTCACAATGTCACAGGGCTTCCAGGACTACGGTTCCGTTTGCTGCCTGTCACCACCAGGCTGGGCCTGCTGTTTTCATTCTTCTAAGGCCAGCCCGTCCTCTTGGGACAGTAGTGTCTCAGGCCAGCACACTCGCTTTCACTTGTGTGCTCACCCTCCTACGCGAGTGTGAGTGAGGATGCTCATGTGTGCGTAAGAGGCCTGGGCCACGCGGTGACAGGTGCGTAGCTTTGATTGTAGTTCCTGTCAGGTTGGTTTTTTTTACGGAGTTACAAGCGTTTACACTAACACCAGAAACCAGGTCAGATAGGTATGTTTGCACCGGGAAGAGGTGTGTTTGCAGAGACTCCGCTCACTAAAAAGACTTCATTTCTAAGAACGGGGACGCCATTGGCGGAGAGGACAGGGAGTACTGTTTGTTCAGCTATGTTTCGAGGTCCAGAGGGCAGTGTTCTTCGCATCAACTGGCGGCGTTTCGTAAGTCAGCGGCTGTCAATCAGTGACAGGCCAAACAGGGCTCTGGCGCTGAAGGCACAGGCTGGCGGGCACTGACTGCCAGCACACGGCCCAGTCTACACGGCACAGCAATTCGTGTTCAGGAACTGTTTCCGGAGCACCTGCAATGTGGCAGGTGTTCCCTCAGCTGGGGATACTCTGTGAACAGAGAGACAGAGCCTCGTGCTTGCCACGCTGTGTGTCTAGGGGGACGCTACCAATAACGAGCCCTGGGAGGGGTGACTTAGAGCGCCAGCCTTCTTAGGGGGATAGAGACTTGAAAAGAAAAGAGATTTGGGACTGGAAACTTGTGGTTTGAATGACGGTGGGTGACATCACACACTTAGCACACTGAAGAATTTAATAAATATGTGCTGAGGGCCAGCCCGGGGTGTGGTTAAGGCGGCGGGGGTCCTATGTGGCTGACTGTGTGGTTTCAGTTCTGGACCCAGCAGCTTGACAAACACACCAGGCAGGGACCAGCAGATGGCAAAATGGTTATGTCACTGGGCTCCCACATGGTCATCTGTGGCTCGAGTCTTGGACCTGGTGGCTGAAACTCCCCGCCAGGAGTGTGTGTGTATGTGTGCGTGCCCAAAATTCCAAGAGAGAATGGAAGAGAAGGGATTATGGCATGGCCATCCCCCCTTGGGGGTGATTCCTCACTTTCTGTCTCTGTCTCTCTCTGTGTTGAGCATGTACCCTGTAGCAAAAATCTCTCTTAAAAAATAAAACTGAAAAACACCCTAGGAGGCAGGTGTGTGTGCCCAAATCCCAACAGAAGGGAGGACAAGGGGTTGCTGGAGGACCTTTTCCCCAGGATGGGATGGTGCTTCCTCGTTTTCCCGCTTTCTCTGGCAAGCACATATGTCTTATAGCAAATTTTAAAAATAAATAAATAAAATCTGTTGAGCAAGCTTACGGATGTCTAAATGAGTGAATGAATAAAACGAAGTACTGGTTTTCTTTGTCTGACTAGACACGTGTTGAGATAGCATACTAAGTCGCAGTTAGTCTCTGAATTTTCTGAAAGTCACTATCCTCAGGGAGCTCAGTGGTGAAGAGCTGGAGGCCAGGCTGGACCAGAGCTTGGTTGGCAGTGGCACCTGCGATTGGCTAGTCATCCTCCAGGGAAAGCACGTGGCAGGGACAAGAGCAGAGCCTCCTCCGTAGACTTGGAGATGCCAGTTGGCTTTTCTTGTTGGAGCCGACACGGAGCAAGGCAGTAAGGGGAAGGGACATCTTCTTCAACCAGAGGCAGAGTGTAAGGCAGACAAAAGAGAGATGAAGCCGGGTGTGGTGGCCCGCGCTCACAGTCCCGGCAACTCCAGAAGCTGAGGTGTGTGA